CTGAGGATCCCCGGCGGGAAACAGTACCAACAGTACCTCGGCTCCCACGACCAGCCCGACGGCCGCCCCCACGGGCGCGCCCACCGCGGCGGGAACCTCGGCTCCCACGACCAGCCCGACGGCCGCCCCCACCGCGGCGGGAACCTCGGCTCCCACGACCAGCCCGACGGCCGCCCCCACGGGCGCGCCGACCTCGGCTCCCACGACCAGCCCGACGGCCGCCCCCACGGGCGCGCCGACCTCGGCTCCCACGACCAGCCCGACGGCCGCCCCCACGGGCGCGCCGACCTCGGCTCCCACGACCAGCCCGACGGCCGCCCCCACGACCAGCCCGACGGCCGCCCCCACGGGCGCGCCGACCTCGGCTCCCACGACCAGCCCGACGGCCGCCCCCACGGGCGCGCCGACCTCGGCTCCCACGACCAGCCCGACGGCCGCCCCCACGGGCGCGCCGACCTCGGCTCCCACGACCAGCCCGACGGGGACGGCCGCCCCCACGACCAGCCCGACGGCCGCCCCCACGCTCTCGCCGACCGCGGCTCCCACGACCAGCCCGACGGCCGCCCCCACGGGCGCGCCGACCTCGGCTCCCACGACCAGCCCGACGGCCGCCCCCACGGGCGCGCCGACCTCGGCTCCCACGACCAGCCCGACGGCCGCCCCCACGACCAGCCCGACGCCCGCGCCGTCGGTCTCTCCGACGCCCGCGCCGTGGATTCAGCGCGGCTACGACATCGACGGCGAGGCCGCGGACGACTGGTCGGGCTACTCGGTGTCGCTGAGCGCGGACGGCACGACGCTGGCCGTCGGGGCGCCCTTCAACGACGGCGCCGGCTCCAACGCGGGCCACGCGCGCGTGTTCGCGTGGGACCCCGTCGACGAGACGTGGAAGCAGCGCGGCGACGACATCGACGGCGAGGCCGCGGGCGACCAGTCGGGCAGGTCGGTATCGCTGAGCGCGGACGGCGCGACGCTGGCCGTCGGGGCGGTCTACAACGACGGCGCCGGCTCCAGCGCGGGCCACGCGCGCGTGTTCGCGTGGGACTCCGACGACGAGACGTGGATTCAGCGCGGCGACGACATCGACGGCGAGGCCGCGTTCGACCAGTCGGGCTACTCGGTGTCGCTGAGTGCGGACGGCACGACGCTGGCCGTCGGGGCGGTCTACAACGCCGGCGGCGGCTCCAGCGCGGGCCACGCGCGCGTGTTCGCGTGGAACTCCGACGACGAGACGTGGGTTCAGCGCGGCGGCGACATCGACGGCGAGGCGGCGTACGACTACTCGGGCGTCTCGGTGTCGCTGAGTGCGGACGGCACGGCGCTGGCCGTCGGGGCGTACGAGAACGACGGCGCCGGCTCCAACGCGGGCCACGCGCGCGTGTTTGCGTGGGACCCCGTCGAGGAGACGTGGGTTCAGCGCGGCTACGACATCGACGGCGAGGACGCGGACGACCAGTCGGGCTACTCGGTGTCGCTGAGCGCGGACGGCACGGCGCTGGCCGTCGGGGCGCACTACAACGACGGCGGCGGCACCGACGCGGGCCACGCGCGCGTGTTCGCTTGGGACCCCGTCGACGAGACCTGGAAGCAGCGCGGCGACGACATCGACGGCGAGGCCGCGGACGACCGGTCGGGCTACTCGGTGTCGCTGAGCGCGGACGGCACGGCGCTGGCCGTCGGGGCGCACTACAACGACGGCGGCGGCACCGACGCGGGCCACGCGCGCGTGTTCGCGTGGGACTCCGACGAGAACGAGTGGAAGCAGCGCGGCGACGACATCGACGGCGAGGCCGCGAGCGACTGGTCGGGCTACTCGGTGTCGCTGAGCGCGGACGGCACGGCGCTGGCCGTCGGGGCGATCTTCAACGACGGCGCCGGCTCCAACGCGGGCCACGCGCGCGTGTATTCGATCTCTCTCTAGCGCATAGGCGACGCACCCCGCTA